GGCTATGCATTTCTTGGTGATTAGATTGGTGTATAATCTTGGAATTGATTGTTTTCCTTATATTTTTCCTTGGTGATATTTTTTGGGAGTTTTTTGTTCCTTGATTATATTATTGTTGTGTTTTTTGGGTTATGTTGATAGCCTAGTGAAATTTTTTGTGCTAGCCAAATTGTAGTAGTAGAATGCTTGCTAAATCTTTTCTTTGTGTATTAGATATTGCATGTTAGTTGTTATTTGGAAAATGCCTAAATAGAATTGTAAATTGGAGGATAATCAAGAATAAAATTAGTTTTGTTGCATTATGTGATTTCTTGGTGTTAATGCATAATTCTTGATTTGTATACTATGTGAGTAATTGTTTGTCATATCATATTTTGATTGATTGCTTTGTGATTGCGCTCCTGGGTTTTCTAAGTGGTAGTGTTCGATCGAACTAGGTGTTTAATGTTTTGTTTTTTGTCTAGTCGCTTAGTGTTTTTCTAGGGTTAGCTTTGTTCCTAGTTGCTGCGTGTTCCTCTAGATTTCGTCCTAGTTGCTTAGTATTCTTCTAAGTTTCCTCCTAGGTTGCTGAGTGTTCTTCTAGGTAGGATGTCTCAGTGGTTGTGTCTCCGAAGAGCTGAGTGATAATGGTCGATCGATCCAGGTTCTTAGATTGTGCTTAGCCCGTAGAGGTGTGTGCTAAAGTCATAGTGCCCAAGGTTTTCTGTGTCTAGAGCTTAGTGTGTTCTCTAATAGATGTCAAATAAGGTGAAGCTGCTATTATGTGTTTCTTATGTTTTTTGTATTTGGCATGTGATTGTTTTCCTTTGTGTATATGCACGTATGTTGTTTGATTGTGTAATATTTGTGCTGTATGTGCTAGGTTGCTATGTGATCTATCTAGGTGGATGTTAGGATCTATGTGTACTATGTATGATATATTTTGTCTGCATTAACGTTTGTTCGTAGATGCAACGAGGGACAAAAGGTGATGATGAAATCCATTGGTGCTAGGTAAGTCTATATCTAGTAACTACATATTTGGGATTTGGTTAAATCACAACCAAAATAGGTGGAGATTGTTGGGATTTTTGGCCGTTCGAGGCCTAACCCGACAAGTCCCTCGATAAATTAATAAGTTGGCCCACTCCGTAGCCCGACCCACCAGATTCAACCCAAACCCTTTAACCCAAACCCATATATAAAAAACTAAGTCAATTTGTTAGGTTGTTATGTTGGTTATAATCGTGTGCGGTTTTTTAGTTTTGGAAAGTTATTAAAGGTTAGTTTAAAAAGGGTTTTTTGGTGAGTCGGTTTTGGATAAGTGAGATACACCATAACCGAGTTAGAGAGATTGAATGTGAGGGAGAGAACTACGAATGGAGTTCCGGTGAGCCGAGCGATTCCAGTGAGTTCCCGGTGAGGTTCGGGACCCTTTTCTTGTGCCGATTCTGGTGGACGTCGAGGCTAGCTAGGAGTGACGAGCCGACCTCCAACCTTGAGGCGTGATTACCTCGGGCCACTTCGCTCCATGGACTGAGCCGATAATCATCATCCCTTAGTCTCCAGTGACGTTTGAAGAAGAAATAACAAAATCGGTAGAAATCGAGGTCGCCGGAGTCGAAGCTGTTTGGGTCCGATCGGAGGAGTCTGTCGGAGAATAAGAGAACCATCATCGTCTGCTATTTGCCAGACAAACTGAAGTTGCTGCCCGCTGTTGTTTTTCGCCGGTGATGTCGTCGTCTTCGCGAATAGTCGTGGTCGTCGATTGAAAGAGAAGTAGAACACGAAACAGGGAGTTTGCCTCTTCAATTTCAGTTACCTTTGGTTAGGCGTGTTTGTTTGCTTTTGATTTCCAGAAAATCAGATTATGCCTTCAGTTTGATTAGTGATAATTTCATTTCGATTTGGTATTGGTTTTATTCGAATTCGCTTCCGCTAATTCATTTATTGTCGTATTTTTATATACGAGGTTGTTCGATATATTTAAAGGATTCAGGAATAAATTCACAACATATACATATTTGTAATTCTTGTATTTCGATGGAATAAGAGCAGACAATCATTCACTCAAAATTTGATTTTTTTCATTGATGTTCTTTCACGCAACAAGTTGCTCAAGTGCCAAAATTAGCCGCACTTCGTAGATTGTTTTCTTTGATATTTTCTTTATTTGTAAAAAGATATTTAATTAGCTACAATATTTTTAACTACGGAATATTTTTGTAGTTAAAAATGTGTCATTTGACAACAAAATTAATTTCATCGCTAAAAAAAATTATGTATTACAAAATTAATTTCATCGCTAAAAAAAATTATGTAGTTCAAAATTAATTTCGTTGCTAGTTTTTTTTGCTAGAAAATTATATTTTCATAGCAAAAAGGTTTTAACTAAAAAATTATATTTCATAGCTAAAACTATTTGGCTATAGAAATCATGGGTAAATTGTTTTTTTTAGTCCCGTAACTGGACCCCTTTATTATTTTAGTTCCATAAGTGGAGTCTGTGGCAAATTAATCCCATAAGTAAAAACTTTTCGCTGTTTTAGTCCTCTAGCGCCGAAGACGCCCGCGTGGTTCGCCAGAGGTGACGTGTCCGCGTGGTTTTTAATTTTTTTAAAAAACTTATTTTTAATTTTATTTGCATTTTTTTATTTTTTATTTAGTCCAATTTTAAAAAAAATTCAAAAAAAATTCAAAATAAATAAATAAATAAATAAATCCATATGTCCGCCAGCGACACCTAGCGGACACGTCACCTCCGGCGAGCCACGCGGACATCTCTGGCGTCGGAGGACTAAAACAACGAAAATTTTTCACTTATGGGACTAATTTGCGATAGGCTCTACTTACGGGACTAAAATGATAAGGGGGTCCAATTACGGGACTAAAAAAATAGTTTACCCAAAAATCATACATATTTTGTTGCTAAAACTCTTTTATTATGAATTTTAACGTTATAGCAAAAGAGCTTTAGCTACGAAATCTTTTTTTTGTAGGTATATCTCTTTTCTTAACTTTTATTGCAAAAAAAATTATTTTTTGTTACAAAAATCATATTTGTCGCAAAAAATCTTCACTAACGCGGTATAGCCGACGAAATGAGTTTCATCGAAAAACTATTTTCGCTATGAATTCATATCTTTTGCTACGAGATTTTTTTGTAACTAAATTTCAACTTTTTTGTAATGTATTACTTTGTTGAAGAGAAGATGAAATGATGACCAGTAATGCCAAAAATAGAAGAAGTATATACATGTTAAATTTATTTTTTTTTTTTTTGCTTATGAGAGAAGACCCAGTGGAAGAATACAGGATTTTAAAATTTTAAACAACAAAAAAATTGATTTATTTTTATTTTTTTTAAATTGTGCCACATGACATAATCTGAGCATCTGAAATATGTTCTGGGTGCCACAATTGACAAGTCCTGTGAAGAAATAAGAATAATGATTCTCTATTAAAAGAGATATTTTTTATACTACCATTTTTTTTAGATATAGTCAATTTTTAGCAATTGAAGTAAATTTTTATTGAAAATATTGATTTTTTTTTTTTTTTTTTTTTTTTTATCCGAAGTATTTTAATGATGTGTTATAAATTTATAAATTTGTATGAGTTTGAACTCATAATTATATGGTCAAAATCCAAATATAGCTACTAGGCCATTCTTTACCTACATTGTTGTTAAATAATACATGATTGACATCATTAAAGAGAATTTGTCATCTTGTAGACTATTTATATTTTCTATATCACAAAATTTATCAGAAGAAGATTTCTCTGATAGTTCTGTTTCTAGATTTGATGAAATATTTGTGTTTCTTTAGCTTAAAATTTTCAAATTTTTATTATTTGAACTTTTTTTTTTAAAAAAAATTATAATTTTTTTTTTCATAATAATCTCATCAAATATTATTTTAATATCAAATTCAAACTAAACTTTTTCTTAAACCAATCAAAATAAAAAGAATCATACGTTTACTTTTAATTTCAACGGAACCGTGTACTTATAGCTCGGTTTCCATGCTGGAATAAAGCTTATCTAATTAAACTCCTTAGATCATCTCCAAATTACAACTTCATATTTGTAGGATTATCGCAAATTTTTTCATTTTTACGGGGGAGATGATACAGTCAGTTATTTCCGATCATACTTTCTATTTTTTACAGGCTATTGCAGGATCAAATAATATTTTATCTATATTTTATTGTAAATATATAATTTTATAATTTTTTTTTTTAAATTTATAAATAACATCAAATATTTAATTATTTTTATATAGTTAATTTTGAAAATATTTTAATACTACAATAATAAATTAAATTAATATTTTCTATTATTTAATCATAAAAAAATAATGAATATTTTTTAAATAAAATAAAATAAAATTTTTACTATTATTAAATAACATTTATGCAAAATATAAATATAAATAAAAATATATAATATTATTTATTAAATATAATAAATAAAATATAAAAATTAATACTATAAAAAAATATAAATACAAAATTAATATATTTTATAAATAATAAAATAAAAATCACAAAAAATAAAAAAATACAATTTAAAAATAATTTTTCAATTAAAATAAAATAAAAAGTCACCCTCTCATGTTTGGAGAATCCACTCTGGAAAAATAGTAAAATTAGGGTGGTGATTGTTTGGGAGACTTTTCCAAATTTATACCATTCATCAATTTTTTTTATCTAAAAAATATCAAATCATAACACCTATTTTTTATTTTTATATTATATTAAAAATTAATTTTACATTCAAAATATTAAATCAACACCTATTTGTATCACATCATTTTTCAATTCAAAAATTTTACTATTTAAGTTTCAAACTCAAAATTCAAACATCCAAACAACACAACCGTAGAAGATATTTTGGGCCTTGACTTGTAAACTTACGGCCCAATAAAATGTAGTCGTCAACAACCCATATTTGGACTTTTGCATTTCTTCCCTCGCAGTGCGAGATCTAAATTGGTCCATTCGAAAGAAAAAACATATATAATAAAAAATTTAAAAATTTCATATTCCTCCTGTCTGCCCGAGTTGGGAGAGGAAGAACAATGTCGGGAGGAACTGCTCGCGGGCGGCTGGCTGAAGAATTGAACGCCTTGCGGAAGAACCATACCCATGTTGGTTTCCTTGTGTGTGTTTCAATTGTGTTGTGGTTGTGGGTTATCTTTTGGGATATTGTATTTGAGTGGTAAATTGTTTTCTGTTCTGTGTTAGGGTTTTATGGCTAAACCTGAGACTCTTCCCGATGGCGCTGTTAATTTAATGGTGCCGAACAGTTCGATCCCGGGCAAGGTAGGGGTAAGTATATTAACTTCACTGATCCTTTGGCGTCGTCGATTTTGGCATTGGTGGAAATTTTTTTCCGGTGGGATTTACGTGTATAATCTTTGAATCTGATTATTTGCTGTTAGCTACTGTTTCTTGCAAGTTCGTGCTTTGGAACGTTTTCGTAGTGTGAAGTAATTGTCTTGCTTTTGGTTAAGAATACTGGAGTATTTGCACGGCTTGGTTCTTTATTTCTTCTTTAATTATCATTTTCTGGACAATTCTTGACACTCCCATAGGCTTATTGTTCCCTTTGTGAAATTTTAGGGTTCTTCATACTTTGCCTGCCTTGATTGAGTACTAATTTGGGTGTAAGAGAGGGTGCGATGGTTATTAAGTTTAGCTTTTGCTGACTAGGGTGAACTTGTTTTCATAATGGCAATGGCGCTCGCTGTTCCTCCCAGACCGATTCTGCTAATTCTGATGGAGAAATCGTCCTCCCCACCATGCGTCCAAATGGATACTTAGCCGGAGAAGCCCAAATCGAGAGAGCCTGGGCACACTGGAACAAGCTTGGCCGGCCAAAGCACATTGTGGCTCCCATGGTCGACAACTCTGAGCTTCCGTTTCGGTTGCTGTGTCGTAAGTATGGTGCTCAAGCTGCATACACTCCGATGCTCCATTCCAGAATTTTTACTGAGACTGAGAAGTACCGTTCCCAAGAGTTCACAACTTGTAAGGTGTGTCTGTTTTTCTTGCCAGCGAGGATATGGATTTGAATGCATGATCAGTTTTTTCTCTTTGACTGAATGCTGTTGCCGATGGCAGGAGGACAGGCCACTGTTTGTGCAATTTTGTGCAAATGATCCAGATGTTTTATTGGAGGCAGCGCGGAGAGTTGAGCCTTACTGCGATTATGTTGACATCAATTTTGGGTAATTTTGGATTGCTTATACATCACTTTGTATACTAAATTTTGCTGCTTTTATCATTTGATGCTTTGTTTCAGAGAAATTTTCATCCCAATACAAGTATGGAGGCAATATTAGTAGTTTTGCACTTTCCTCGCCTACTGTGACATGGATAAACATGATGCTAATTTCCTCCACTGTTTTCTTGTCTTTTTGGATGAAATTAATGAAATTGATTTACGGTAGTAAAATTGCTGATTGATAGAGAAACAGAAACAGAAATAACACTAGAGATGCTGGGAAAAGTTATACTCTCTCCGTATTGGATATACGTCACGGTTACTGTAACAAGGAAATTTAGTAGAGATATGATTAGTAAATAATTAAGAATGTATTAATAAAATTAATTATAATATAATACAAATAATTATAAATTAAGATTAATATATCTAACCCGTCTAATTAAAATTTAAAAAATATTATAAATTGTGATTGATATGTGTAACTTTTTTTCAAAAAAGCAAAGTCACATGAAATGTGGGACAAACAAAAATGGAAAGTGTGACGTTATATGCGGGACAGAGGGAGTATTTTCTAATTTTAGCTAGTCATAATCGACAATCTCCTTTACTCAAATCCATAATTTTGTTCCTTGATATGGGGATTTTTATTGCACCATATTCTTACTTTTGTAGTCGTATGTGTTCGCTTAGTAATAGCTGGAGGATCAAACTTGATGATTTTTGTGTCTTTATGATTGCTCAGTCATCACTTCTATTTCATTGGTTTCCATTACCAACACCAACTGTCTTTTGTGTTTGTTTTTAATTTTTAATTTCCATCTGTAATTACAAGTAGTTAAATAAATTATTGCTTACATGTTCAAAAATCTGTTAATTTTATTGGTGAGGTTGCTTTGGATTTGACGCTGATTTTTGAGTCAGTGTGGTGTGATGTTTCTTTCCTCTATAGTTTGATTATGGTAACGAACATGTAAGCGATTGTGTCGAGGTGTGGATGCTGCGGGTCTTAAGCTCCACCCATAAATATGTACCAAGCCATACGAACATTTGTAAAATGTGGGATTATTCAGATGCGTGCTATTGTTGTTTGTATTCATAATGTGCCTACTTATTGTCAATAATCAACTGCGATTCTTCCTTCACGGTTCTCAATTGCTATATATGTGCTTGAAATGTTTCTTCTTCTCTTATAGTATAGACATGTCTCATAATTTTTCTGTAATACAGATGCCCTCAGCGTATTGCCAGACGGGGGAACTATGGAGCTTTCCTCATGGACAATCTTCCTCTAGTGAAGTCTCTGGTCGAGAAATTGTCCCAAAATCTTGATGTTCCCGTGTCATGCAAAGTTCGAATCTTCCCTGATTTGCAGGACACAATTAAGTACGCAAAAATGTTGGAGGAGGCGGGCTGTGCACTTTTAGCTGTTCACGGAAGAACTAGAGATGAAAAAGACATGAAGAAATTTCGGGCCAACTGGAACGCAATCAAAGCAGTCCGGGAAGCAGTGCGAATTCCTGTCCTTGCTAATGGTAACATAAGACATGTAGAAGATGCCGCGCTATGCTTGGAAGAGACAGGTGCACAAGGGGTTCTTTCAGCCGAGTCACTTCTTGAGAATCCAGCGCTCTTTGCTGGTTACCGAACTCCTGAATGGGCATCTGGCGACGAAGAAACTTGCAGTGATGGCGGATTAGATCAAGCTGAGCTTCTGGTAGAATATCTGAAATTTTGCGAGCAGTATCCAGTGCCATGGAGAATGATCCGTTCCCACGTGCACAAGCTTTTGGGAGAGTGGTTCCGAGTCCATCCTCATCTAAGAGACGATCTAAATGGACAGTCTAAGCTTACGTTTGAATTTCTTTACAGCATTGTTGACCGGCTTAAAGAACTTGGCGCAAGAATTCCCCTGTATGTGAAAGACAGCGATAGAAACGAGGTATCGGCCGATGGGACTGTAGCATGAATCCAAACTTACTGGAGAATTTGCTTTTAATCATTGGTTGGGGCTTCATCTTCCATGGCTAGGGCCTAAAGAAGTATGTAAGTCCCACTTAATTTTTGTCCCATGCTTGTGTTTGAATTGTAGTCATATGATATGTATCATTATTCTTGGTAAGAAGGTAACTTCACAAGGCTGCGCGTGTGGCAAACTCATTTATGACCTTGGAACTGTGCCATAGTAGCTATTATATTATTTGCAGTTATTTTTACTTGTTCTTATTTTTAAAGCTTAAATTTTGGTGGCATATTTGTTGGGAAAGTTGGGGAAAACATAATATATTTTTATACTCTATTTGTTCTATTTCTATTCATTATAGTCAGTGTGTCTGTTCTATTAATTTATTTATTTTTTTCTTATCTATCACATTATATCTTCGTTGAATGAATTCTGATTAAATTTAGTGCACAGAAAAATAAGTGAGTTGCCTCTCAATAGTGCATTTATTTAACGTCTTTGGCTAGACATTATTTATTTAGATTTTAGGACAAAGGGTCTTCAAGAGCCATCTAAACAAACTTTTTCTCCAACTTCGAACAAGTCATCTCACATGTAATACTTTATATTGTTCTTCAACTTGTTGCACTTACCTTTCATCAATGTGGATGAAATGATCACCGGCAATATCTCATCTCTTAAATGAATATATTTCAAGTGATTCAATAGCGGCTTTAATTCCCAACTATGGTGGCTGCACAATCAAAAGCAATAAACGTGTAGTATTCTTAGGCAAAAATAAAAAAGCATGGGCATACCTATGCGAAATAACTTTTAGCACATCGTCGCCCCTCTACTCAAAAGCATCCTGCATTTTAAAGTTAATTATATCTAACGGAAAAACATAGTGAGAATTTAAAGGATGTTCAATCGCATAAAATTTTCTAAATTCATGCATTTCTAAGACATAGAATTCGACCGGGAAAATTAAATCATGAACTTGGACAAGGACAAGGACATCCTCTATAATTCCTTCGGAATATGCATCCGTCCAATTAGCAAGTTGAATAACAATCCCAATTTTCTTTAGTGGTACAAGATTCCAACGATTATAAATTGATTTCGGCGTGACATTAATTGCCGCATCTAAATCTAACATAGCACGTTTGACTTTTACACGGGATTATAAACATACCTGGGTCTTCGCACTTTGGTGTGTAATACCCCCGGAGTTGAATAGTGATATGAGTCGGGGATGATGAAATACCCCCGAGGTTGAATAAGAGGTTAAATGGATTGAATAGACTATCAACAATGTGCACATTCATTTTCGAAAACTCTATTGAAAGAACTCTAGAGTTAAACTTGTTTGCTCTAGAGTAATTTGAGGATGGGTGACCCCTGAGAATGCGCATGAGTGAGGACATAAATGCGCTGGAATGACTCGTGTTGACCTGTGGGACCAGTTTACAATCCCGACATGCTTCGCTTTGCGTGGCTTGTGGGCCGGGGTGTCACAATTGGTATCAGAGCCGACCTGCGACAGCCTGCAGTCGTTGACCGGACGTTGCATTTTTAAGTCGGGGAGGATGTAATACCCCCGGAGTTGAATAATGATATGAGTCGGGGATGATGAAATACCCCCGAGGTTGAATAAAAAGTTAAATAGATTGAATAGACTACTCATGTCAACAATGTGCACATTCTTTTTCGGAAGCCCTAAAAGAACTTTAGAGTTAAGCGGTGTCACAAGTAGAATCTTTTTTTGGAGTAATGATGAGACATTCTCGCTTGCAACGATGCATTCATCGCCTTCAACTTTCACTTGGTGCACAATTCTTTTAGAAACTTTTGATAGTTTTGTTAAAGGAATAGTTGAATAGAAACTGAATATAAAAAAATTAAATGTTTGAAATTGGATATATAAAAGAATTATTGAAAAATATGTAAGTGAGTCTTAGTTTTTGAAATAAATTTGATTTTATATTTGTCAAAATAAATTATTGATAAATTTAAATTTTTAAAAATTTTAAAACTCAAATTTTGGATAACAATTAATTACATAATGATTATTATTATTATTTTTTTTATGATTTTTAGTAGAAGTAATGCATTTTTCATTAAGGTAATATTTGACTGCGTATTTAATACATCTTGTTATAATATAAATTAAGAAGGTAAAAAATGAGAAAGGTTACTGTAGCCTATTTTCACTGTGGTACCTATTCAATTATCAATAATTTTTATTCTATTTATCAAAATGTTATCACATATTTCATTTTTTATTTTACTAAACCTAATAATATTATTATTATTATTATTTTAAGGGAAAAAATTATTTTTGGTATCAATATAACAAAAATTTATTAATTTTGATTTTGATATAAAAAACTCATCAATTTTGGTCCCAATATAACTAAAACTCATTATTTTTGGTCATAATATAACCAAAACTCATTATTTTTAGTTCCACCGTCAACCAACCAACGGAAAATGCTGACGTGGATTTAATGGAGCCGACGTGACGGATGACCTGGAATGAACACAGCCGTGTACAATCCTATACGCCCGTGATCCTACAAGTCAGCATCCGCCAGTCACCATACACGGCCGTGTAACAGTCTTACGGCCATGTTCTCTGGCTGTGTAAACACGCGGCCGTGTATATACATGAACGCAGCTGTGTTCATTTGAACAGACAATTCCCCGCGATTAAACAAAGCTGTGTTTAACGGTACACACGACTGTGTTATGGTTTTACGGCCATAGATTTAGGCTGTGTTGTTACACGGCCGTATTGTGTTGTTACACATCCGTATTAGGTCGTTTAATGCTGTTATCTTCCTCGTATTTTGCACGGCCGTGTGAGATTTCATCAACGGCGTGTATCTTTCTGTCTGGAGATTAAATTTTAATATTTTTGATTTATTTTTTTTGAAATTTGTATAATAATTTCCAAAAAATAAATTAATTAAAAATTAAATATTAACAAAATTTGAAGTTTGAATTAAAATTAGTAAAAATAACCTAAACAACAATCTTTAATTACTTTAAGGAATAATACATACTTAAAACAAAACATCATTACATTCTAAACACAAAATACAAAAAACCCCCAAAGCTACTCGTCCTCGTTTATGCTTGGATGATCCGTAAACAAAATATTTGTATCAATTGTGTCATCGCCGTGCCCCAGTGTAGGTGCATGAGGAGCGTCATTGTTTGGTGGAACTGAAATGAAGAGATGCTGAAAAATATGCGAAAATGAAAATCTCATCTCCAACAGCATACTGATCATCTGGCGTGTAACAATATGAATGTGTATAATTGTACACTGAAGTATACATGGCCGTGTATAATTGAAAATGACCGTGTACTGTCCATGTCGGCTGTCACATCAACTCCGTTACGTCCACGTCAGCAATTTCCGTTAGTTTTTTAGCGTTGAGACCAAATTGATTGAAATTGTTTATAATGAGACTAAAATTGATAAATTTTTTATATTTGAACCAAAATTGATAATTTTGATTATATTTGGACCAAAATTATTCTTTTCCCTAATTATTACCTTCAAGGCATTACTATGGAATTAGTATATACTAGTATATATTAATTGCAAACAACATTGAAAGAAAAATGGTATAATAAAATACTATCTTCGTCTGGTTCCAAGGGTTACTTTTATTTTTTACGTGTTGATATTTGAATATTAATTATTATATCACAATATTGTACAAATTAAAGAAAAACGACAAAAATACTTCCAGTGTTTTATAATACCAATAAAAGCAAGTTTGTAAAAAAAAATACAAATATAAAGATATTTATAATGTTAAGTACAATGAAGTAAAAAGTAAATGTAACCCTAGAGGTGGACAGGGAGAGTATAAATTTAAATATATTGTTCATAAAATAAACTTAAGAATCGGGAGGTTTTTTTTTTTCTAAAATTTTTAAAATATATTTTTTCAAAAAAAAATTAATATACTATACAAATTTATTATTTTTATATTATCTACACAATTCTTTATATCTTGTATTAAAATTCTCTTTTTCAAATCAAAACACAATACAAACACTTCTTGTTGTAGATTTGATGATAAAATTTTTCGAAACTTTTTGGATGATAACTATTTTTTAAATTTTTTTTAAATTTTTATTGGAGTCAATAAATTCTTTAAAATACAAAATGTATGTATTAATAAATACTTCATGGTAAGAGCATGTGCAATGAGGCTTATTTAGAGGCTTCTCATTTGCCCTAGAGGCCGAAATTAAAAAATCACTCCACAATGGATCATACCTAGAGGCGGCTCATGCAACAAAGCCTCGGAGAACTTCGGTGAAGCAAGGGCCTAGGCTAGGGCGACGCAGGACTTTTTCTTCTCTTTCTCTCCCAATCTTTCCATATTCTATAGGATCCCTCAAAATATTTTCACAGAATTCTTCTATTTCTCCCCAAATTAAAAATCTATTTTGATTAGATAAGAATAAAAAAAAAAAAAAAACCGAATTAGGGAAAGAACGCAGCTAGGAGTGCTCCCTTTATAGCACAACAATGAAATCAACGAAGGAGATGACAAAAAAAAAATAACAACAAAGATTTTCCTCGACGCTCAATTCTTGGCGGCAATTTCAGATTAGAAAAATGAAATATTTAAAGGAAATCTGCAATATAGGAGAGAAAGAGAAGAGAACACCTATTTTTCACTTCAATTTTAAAAGAAAAAATGATGTCTCAGAGTGAGAAAATTTGATTTGTTATTATGTAAATGAAAAAAAATAAAAACTTCAGCTGTACATTCAGGCTTGGACACTTTGGATTCAGGTCATGAATAAGGTTTTTCTGAACAAATGCCCGTTGCACATGTTCTAAAAAAGTGAAAAAGTAATGAAAAAGGCATGACATATGTTATAAGGGTTGGATTGGATTGGATTGATTTTTTAAAAAAAAAACGGAAGTAAAAAAGGAAACATAAGTCAAAACGGTTAAAATTATCAAATAGCACATAATTATTTATTAAACTTAAATTTTATTTTAAATTTTTACAAATTATATTTTTTTAAATTTTAGATTATCTAACCTAATTGAAAATATATTTTTAATTTTAATTTAATTAAGAATAAAAAAGGAAAACTACTGTCTCTGTCTCACTTAATTTGTCCATTCTTTCTATATTTTTGTTCATCCCATATAATTTATCTTTTTTTTAAAAAAAAATATATAATTATAAACTTTAATCACGTTTTCAAATTTCAAATTTCTATTTTTTT